GAAATCACAAGAAAACTACAGACCAATATCCCTTATGAATACAGGTGTGAATTTCCTCAACAATATTTATTAAACTGAATCTAGCAACACATAATAAGAATTATACGCCATGATCAATTGAGATTTATCCCACAGATGCAAGATTGTTTCAACACACAAAAATCAGTCAATACACCATATTAATAAAGGACAAAAACTACATGATCATCTCAATAAATGCAGGAAAAGCACTCGACAAACTGATAGTCTTTCATGATGAAAACACTCAAAAAGGAGTACAAAGCAACTTCCTCAACCTGATAAAGAACGTCTATGAAAAACCCACAACTAATATCGTGCCTAATGGTAAAAGATTGAAAGGTTCTGCTCTTACCACTTATATTCAGCATTGTACTGGAGATTGTAGCCAGGGAAATTAAGCAAGAAAAATAAATAAAAGGCATAAAAATTGGAAAGGAAGAAGCAAAATTATTTGCAGATGACATGACCCTGTATACACAAAATCCTAGAGAATCCACAAATAAACCATCAGGGCTAATAAACAGATTCAGTAAGGTTGTAGGATAAATATACAAAATATATACAACACATACAAGATAAATATATGAAAATTACCTGTATTTCTATACACTAGCATTGAATAATCCATAAATGAAATTGAGGAGACAATTCCATTTACAATGGCATCAAGAAGAATAAAATACTTGGGAGTAAATTCAACTAAAGAAGTGTAAGATTTGGACACTAAATTACAAAACATTGTTGAAGAAAATTAAAGAAGACCTAAATAAATAAAAGACATCCCATGTTCATTGGTTGGAAAATTTAATATTGTTAAACGGCAATACTTCTCACACTGATCTATAGATTCAATGCAATCCCTATCAAAAATCCAGGGTTTTCTTGTTTGCTTTTTTATTTTTGCAGGAATTGACAAGCTGATCCTAAAATTCATATGGAAATGCAAGGGACCCAGAATGGCCAAAATGATTTTGAAAAAGAAGAACAAAATTGGAGGACTCACAGTCCCAATTTCAAAATTTTCTACATAGATACATACAGTAATCAAAACTGTGTGGTAGTGGCTTAAGGACAGACATAAAGATAACTTATTTTGAACAAAGGTACCAATACAATTCAATGAAGAAAGAATAGTCTCTTCAATGTATTATAGTGGGATAACTGAATATCCACATACAGAAAAATAATAATAATAAAGTTGGATCTCTTCTTTACACTCAAAATACACAAAAGTTAACTCAAAATGGACCAAAGACCTAAAGGGAAAAGCTTAAACTACAAACTCTTAGAAGAAAACATAGTTGTAAATCTTAGTGACCTTTTAGGCAATAATTTCTTGCATATGACGCCAAAACCACAAGCAACTAAAGAAAATAGATTAAATTCATTAAAATTTAAAAATTTGTGCTTCAAAAGATACAACCAGTGAAAAGACAGCCCACAGAATGAAGAAAATAGTTGTAAATCATACATCTGATAAGTCTCTAGTATTCAGAAAATATACAGAACTCTTACAACTCAACAATAAAAAGGAAACACGTGGGCCTGAATAGACACCAAGGATATAAATAGATATTTCTCCAAAGACATACAAATGGCCAATAAGCACATGGAAAGATGTTCAATGTAATTAGTCATTACAGAAATGCAAATCAAAATCACAGTGAGATACCACTTTGTACCCACCATGATAGCCATCATCAAAAAGATGAATAATGACAAGTGTTGGTGAGGATTTGGAGAAATTGGGACCCTCATACATTGCTGTTGGGAATGTAGAATGCTGCAACCACTGTGAAAAATAGTTTCTCAAAATGTTAAACATGGACTTACCATATGATCCAGCAACCCCACTCCTACGTATATACCCAGGAGAAGTGAAAACGTGTTCATACAAAAACTCCTCTGTACACAATTGTTCAGAGAAACAATATCATAACACCCAAAAAGTAGAAACAACTCACATGTCCATCATCTGATGAATGGATAAACAACAATGTGGTATATCTATACAATGGAATATTATTTGGCCCAGAAAGGAATGAAGTACTGATTCAGGCTACAACATGGATAAACCCTGAAAACAATATACTAAGAGAAAAGAAGGCAACATACTGTTTGATTCCATTCACATGAAATGTCAGAAGAGGCAATTCCATGGACCTCCTTTACAGAAGGTAAATTAGTGTTTTCCAGGGTCTGGAAGGAGGTAACAAGGAGTGCCTGCTAATGAGTACGGGGTTTACTTTGGGGTGATAAAAATGTTCTGGAATTAGATAGTGGGAATGATTACACAAATTCATGAATATATGAAGACCCACTGAACTGTACACTTTTAAAGGGTGAATTTTATGGTATGTGAATTATATCTCAAAAAAAGAAGCGGGGGGATCTCCTACACCCCTGAATCCTAGTCTTCATTGGTGGAGACAACTAATGTTACTTGTTTCTTGGCTACCATTCGTGAAATAGACTTTATACATACAAACATATATTTGTGTGTCTATAGATCCCTTAGTAGAAACAGAAGTATGAGCATAGCAAATACACTGTCCTAGATTTTGTTTTCGCCCCTTCACGATATAACTTCAAGATCATTCCTCTTTTTTTAATTAATTAATTTTTTATTGAAGTATAGTTGATTTACAATGTTGTGTTACTTTCTGCTGTACAGCAAAGTGAGTCAGTTATACATATACATATATCCATTCTTTTTAGATTCTATTCCCATATAGGCCATTACAGAGTATTGAATAGAGTTCCCTGCACTACACAGTAGGTTCTTATTATTTTATATATACTAGTATGTATATGTCAATCCCAATCTCCCAGTTTATCCCTTCCCCCTCTTTCTCCCTTGATAACCATAAGTTTGTTTTCTACATCTGTGACTCAATTTCTGTTTTGTAAATAGGTTCATTTGTACCATTTTTTTAGATTCCACATATAAGTGATATCATATGCTATTTGAATTAACTTTAGTAAATTCCATATGACAGTTATTACACTGTATTTTCTCAATTACAAGATCATGTCTTTTTTTCTTATTAATCAATTTTTTATTGGAGTACAGTTGATTTAAAATGTTGTTTTAGTTTCTGCTGTACGAGATCATTCCTCTTTATAATATAACTTGGTGATTATTTCATTACAGCATATGCAAGTATCCTTCATTTCTTTTTATTTTTGGATATGCTATAATTTAGTTTGATAGTCTTTTGCTGCTACAATAGTGTTGCAATTAACTTCCTTGATGTATTTCCATTACATGCATATGGGTGGGATACTTTCTAGAAGTAAAATTTCTGGTTGAAAATATGTTCTTATTTTGATAGATGGATTTATTATTGATTATTGATTTAATGTCTCTCTTACTAGATTATGAGTTTCTTAAGGAGAGGGAACATTTCTATTTTTTTCCCCAAAATTTGTTCATTTATCACTGTATACTGTTCCATTACAAAAATATATCATATTCTTATTCATTGTACTTTTAAAAAATTATAGTTAATTTACAATGTTAGATTCATTTCAGGTATACAACATACTGATTCGATATATTTCTATACATTACAAATGAATCACCACAATAAGTCTAGTAACCAACTGTCATCATACAAAGTTGTGTTTTTTTGTTTTTTTTTTTTGCGTTACGCGGGCCTCTCACTGTTGTGGCCTCTCCCATTGCGGAGCACAGGCTCCGGACGCGCAGGCTCAGCGGCCATGGCTCACGGGCCTAGCCACTCCGCGGCATGTGGGATCTTCCCAGACCGGGGCACGAACCCGTGTCCCCTGCATCGGCAGGCGGACTCTCAACCACTGCGCCACCAGGGAAGCCCCAAAGTTTTTTTTTTTGGCTGCTTCTGCACTGGGACTTGGAGCAAGCGAGTTTTTGCACCTGCCCTTTAAGGATGGAGTCTCAGTTTCCAGCCTCTAGCTCTCCTAAACATAACACCCACTGGTTTTCAAAGCCAGGTATTTTGGGTGCTTGCCTTCCCAGTGCAGGACCACCAGGCTGGTGAACTCAATGTGAGACTTGGACCCCTTGATCCTCAGGGAGGACCTCCACAGTTGTCATTTTCCTCCTGCTTATGGGTCACCATGCCAGGAATGTGGGTCTTGACAGTCCACGTCTCCACCCCGCTACCTGTCAAGTTGTGGTTCTTTCTTTATATCTTTAGTTATGGAAAAAATCTTTTCTGCTAGCCATCGGGTCATTCTCACAGATAGCTGGCCTGTAAGTAGCTGTAACTTAGGTGTGACAGGAGCTGAGCTCAAGATCTTCCTACTCTGCCATCTTGATCTTTCTCTATCCTCATTTCTGTTTTGTTGACCAATCTAGCAATCTAGATTTTAGCACATTGCTTGACATAGTGCTTTACTTATTTGTAGACAGACAAGCCTGTGTGCTTTATTGTACAAAGTGTCAAATAGAATTTCAAAGCTACATCATTAAAAAGCAAACAACAATCTAGTTTATAGAGATGGTAATTGTTTGGGGGGGTTGGTTGGTTTTTGTTTGTTTGTTTCTTTTCTTTTCATCCAGTTGTTTGTTTTTTATGTTTTCCTTTTAAACTCCAGTATATTTTCAAAAATTGTGCAGGTCAACTGCAATGCATCATTTTAAGAAATATAGAATCCTTAATTTCATCTGAAGACATCAGCATGTTTTATTAAATAAACGCCTGCTTCTTATATTTGAGTATTCTGCATTTCAGTTACTTAAAAAAAACAAGGGAAGATGGGGGTTGATTTGCAGCTTTAAGAGACCTAATAGCGGCACCTGCTGGAGAAAATGTCAGAATAAGTTTTGAAGCCATTAAATCTTAAAAATTTTAGATCAGTTTGTTTCTGTTAATCAGGAAGAAATTTGTTATTTTACCATAGGAGTGCTTGTAATATGTAAATATAATTAAGTTTACAAGAGGTTCTTTGATGTTCTGCAAAATTAGAGATAAAAGTGTTTTTTCCTTTTTCAGGATAAAGTCATTTTGGGAACCGATTACCCCTTTCCACTAGGTGAGCTGGAGCCTGGGAAACTGATAGAATCCATGGAAGAATTTGATGCAGAAACAAAGGTATGTGCCTTTTACTTCATGATCTTCTTCCTGAATTTTCCTGCTCTAATTGTGTTTGATTTCAGAGCACTTTGCTATGTGATAGCAAAGAACAGAGAAATCGTTACACTTAATATTCCTAGAACTGTTACTTGATCTCCAGAAATAGCCTGACCTATTAAAGGGCAAAGGAAAGTTAAAATGCTGAAAGTCAATCTAGTACAACTAAATTCATAAAGCCAAAAAAGAAAACGGTAAAGAAGCACATTATAATAATATATTTAGATTTGCATGTTAGATGAATGAGAGAAATGTCTAAATTTTTCCTTTAATGTTTCTGGTACAAATCTACCAATCTCAAAAGTTGTAATGATTCTAGTTATTTGGATATTGAGACTAAAGTCTTGATTAACAGAACTCAAGGATCCAGAACCCTCAAGTAACTGGATTTTTTTTTTTCTTTTAGCATTTGACTTTTAGAGTGGCTAAATGTGCCTTAATGCTGCCACTGCCATTCTGCCCCTCAGGCTCCTGAACGAAAATGAGGTTAAAATGAGACGCAGTGTCCCCAGATTTCCTCTTTTGCCATCCCCTTCCCATCCCACACCCACCCCCAACAAAACAAGTTTTTCCTAAGACTTCACTGCCAATTACTACCAGGGGACAGGGATGGCCAAAAATGAAAACATGGGGATATATAAATTCTTAACAAATCTTACAAAAGTTTTAGTCATAGTCCTTTTGTATAAGTCTTGGCTTTCTTCTAAACTAGAATCCAAAATTTCTCTTCAACTCTAATTCTCTGCTTTAATTTTTAAGGATATATTAGCTCATCACATCTTCTCAGTAGGCTTGAAGTACATGAACAGATGCCAACAAGGGTCCTTTTTCTTTTTTTTAGATTTTTTATTTTAGGCTGCGTAGGATCTTAGTTGTGGCACTAAGGATCTTGACTGAGGCATATGGGATCGTTCGTTGCGGCACACGAGCTCTTCCTTGTGGTGTACAGGGCTTTTCTCTAGTTGTGGCGCACAGGCTCCAGGGCGTGTGGGCTCTGCAGTTGTGGCGCAAAGGTTCCACAGAACGTGGACTCTGTAGTTTGTGGCACGCAGGCTCCCTAGTTGAGGCGCGTGAGCTCAGTAGTTGCAGTGCGTGGGTTTAATTGCCCCATGGCATGTGGGATCTTAGTTCCTTGACCAGGGATCGAACCTGCGTCCCCTGCATTGTAAGGTGGATTCTTTACCACTAGACCACCAGGGAAGTCCCAAGGGTCCATTTTGACATATACTAGTTGCAAGTTATTGACTGGGAGACCTCAGACTGCTTTAAACAGGAAGTTTCTCCTTTGGCACTTACCCACCTTAAGGCACTAAAAGTCTTGAATTGTTAAATATATACTTATTAAAGTAGTAAGCAATAGTAAGTTTTTTAACTTTTTATATCAAAGGTTTTATATCAAAGGTTGAGAAATGAAAAACTTTCTATAACATTAACCAAAATTAAACTGAAACCAGATTACCCCAAGAATCCTGATTAAGATTTTAATGGAATAATAATAATTATTATTACATGCCTTTTGTTATTTAATTTTATGTGCTTATCACTTTCAAGTTTTCAGAAAATCTTGAATAAAAATTTTATATTAAAAAAAAAAAATTTTATATTGTCACAAATTCATGACATTCTGTATAAGGTTACTCATTATAACACTGTTCATAATAAAACTAAAAACAATCTACAGGGGAATAAATAAATAATAACATATCCATACAATGGATTCTATACAGCCATAAAAAAATATTAAGAATCGATTTCTAAGATATATTAAGTTAAGCAAGGTGCAAAAACTGCATATAGTATACTTCCATTTGTGTATGGTATACTATCCATTTGTGAAAAAAATTATAAACCTACATATAAATGCATAAAATATTTCTGGAAGAAGGACAAGAAACTGATAACTCTGGAAAGAAAAAATAGTGGTTGGGTAGCACTAGTGAAAGGAAATGTGCATTTTTATACCTTTTGAATTTTGAGCCACATGAAGGTAAAATTTCACTAAAAAGTTTTAAATGCAATAAATAAATCCATTTGATGAGCACAACCAGCCTGGGAGATAGGCAAATGCATTCCACCATGTAGATGCAGAGGAGAAAAACAAGACTTGGGGGTTGAGTGATTTGCCAAAAGGGATATAACTGCTGGATTACAGCACATGGACCCAACCCCAAATCTCCAGACTCCAGGATCAGGTTTCCATCCAACACACCAAAATGTATCTCCTTCAAAGGATACTCAGTACCAACCTATTTTATTATTTTTATTTGGCTGCATTGGGTCTTCGTTGCTGCTTGCTGGCTTTCTCTAGTGGCAGCGAGTGGGGGATACTCTTCGTTGCGGTGTGCGGGCTTCTCACTGCAGTGGCTTCTCTTGTTGTGGCTCACGGGCTCCAGGGCACAGGCTCAGTAGTTGTGGCGCACGAGCTCAGTAGTTGTGGCTCGTGGGCTCTAGAGCACAGGCTCAGTAGTTGTGGTGCATGGGCTTAGTTGCTCCACGGCATGTGGGATCCCCCCGGACCAGGGCTCGAATCCACATCTCCTGCACTGCCAGGCAGATTCCCAGCCACTGCGACACCAGGGAAGCCCCCCAACCTATTTTTTTAAAAGAAATTTATTTATTTATTTTTGGCTGCCTTGGGTCTTGGTTGCTACGTGCGGGCTTTCTCTAGTTGTGGTGAGCAGGGGCTACTCTTTGTTGTGGTGCGCAGGTTTCTCATTGCAGTGGCTTCTCTTGTTGCAGAGCACGGGCTCTAGGCACACGGGCTTCAGTAGTTGTGGCACGTGGGCTCAGTAGTTGTGGCACACGGTCTTAGTTGCTCTGCAGCATGTGGGATCTTCCCGGACCAGGGCTCAAACCCGTGTCCCCTGCATTGGCAGGCGGATTCTTAACCACTGCACCACCAGGGAAGCCCCACCCAACCTATTTTAAAAAGCAAGTAGTTTCTCACAGCAGCAACAGTCATTTCTGAATCTTCCTTTAGAGGAGGATGGCCCAAGTGTGAATCTGGGAAGAACCCTGAATAAGAGGTCCCTGCCTCAAATTACCCACTCTGCAAGGCTGTGTGAGAACCCTGAAGTGGTCATGATATATAGATACACACTAATGGTACGGATATTACACGACACCATACATGTTTCCTTCCACCCTCAATTACATACCTGCCTTTTGCAAGCGGGATATATATCAATTAGGGTATCACAAAATTACCCCTCAAAACACAGGAGTTCTTTCTGTGGAGATGATCTAATCTATAGCTGGGGAGAGAGTGAAAAAAAACTTGGCAGTCTTTTTCTCATGTGAAATTTATAAATGTACATACTTGTACGATTTTCTGAGACTCTTCATCTGTATCACGTTTCTTGCTCCAAAAGAGCTTACTTTTTATTCAGGGCCATGTGAAAGGACAACACATATACCAAGAAGGTGGTAGGTGGCTAGATGACTTCTGGGCACTCTTTCCAACTGTCTTATCTTACAGACCTAAAACTCACTGGAGGGTCCTGTAAAAAGAAAGTCATTTTCCTAAGAGGGTTTTCCCTGTTGTAATTCTCCTCCCCTCCTCCCACAACCAAGTTTCAAACTTAGATTTCAAATAGAGGACAAAGGGGGAACTGAAAGCAGTTAGTTAAAAGGTACAAACTTCCAGTTACAAGATAAATAAGTACTAGGGTTGTAATGTACAACATGATAAATATAATTAATGCTGCTATATGTTATATATGAAAGTTATTAAGAAACTAAATCCTAAGAGTTCTCATCCCAAGGAAAAAAATATTTTTTTCTGTTTCTTTAATGTATCTATACGACATGATGGATGTTCACTAAACTTATTGTGATCATTTCATGATGTACATAAGTCAAATCATTATGTTGTACACCTTAAACTTATATAGTGTTCTATATCAATTATATCTCAATAAAACTGGAAGAAAAAAAAGAACTTCATTCCTTTTGGGGCCTGAATATTCCATTTATGTTTATACCACATTTAAAAATCTATTCATCTGCTGATGTATGCTTAGGTTGTTTCCATCTTTTGGCTGCTGTGAACATTCACATACAAGTATCTGAGTCCCTGTTTTTAATTCTTTTGGCTGTATAACTAGGAGTAGAATTGTTGGGTCATATCGTAATTCTGTTTCTAATATATTTAAACTTATCATTCTATTATGTTGTATAAAAAGCATTCGCAGAAATCTTTCACTAGGAACTGTTATTATAAAAATAAGCATAAAACAAATATACATTTTATACGTTACTTATAACATAAATACATATTTACATGTTTCAAAATTCAAAAAAATCCATTTTTTGTCCATGATTGTCAACATATTTGAGAAGTAGGGAAAATAATAAAAGCACAAATATACCACACACCATTTATATTTTTGCTTTTAAAAGACTGTTCAAAACAAATATATGAATATAATTTGAAAAACAGTGAGGTGAAACATGGGTCAAGAGATTCATTGTTTAACCTGCTAATGTTTTTCTCTCACACTGGGGAATTGAGTTTTTAAAAACCTGATGAAGACACTTACTAAGTACTTTAAAACAACCATTAAATAATGCTTTAAAATAAAATCTTTTCTTTTTCAGGATAAACTCAAAGCTGGCAATGCTCTAAAATTTTTGGGTCTTGAGAGAAAACAATTTGAATGACTGAATTTACTACAAAGGCAAATTTCAAGAAGATATTTTATTTTTGTTTTTGTTTTTAAATATGTATCACTTATGTATCACTAAAATCCTATTTTGAACACTTTTATCTAGAAATAGAATATATATCCTAAATTGTTCAAACAAAAATGACTCGTGCTTTTATTCAGAAAAGCAGTACATTATTTCATGTGCAAATCAAAAATAATTTTCCCAGTGCCTTTTAAATTAATGTCAGAAATAAAAAGCAAAATGTCATTAATGATTTATATGGAAAAAATAACAGATTCATCCCAGAGCGTTCAGGTAGGTTCTACTTTGAGCAAATATATGTTCATAGGGCCCAAATAAACTGTTTTTATTCACTTTAACACCTTCCATTAGCCCAGAAGTGGGCTGGGAGTGCTTTAGGCTCCAAAAAAATAAATGATATACATATCCCATAACATCTAGGAGCTTATAGCCCAATTAAGGAGGCAAGACACATGTTCATGGAATAATAACTAAGCAATAAAACATGCGTGTCACAGAAGTTTCAGTAAGAAAAATTCATTTGGCTTCAAACTTTGGGCAGATCTTCACAGAAGCTGGAACTTGGGCTGAGTCTATATGGATGGATAAGGCATGTTTAGGTTTGGAAGATAGGAAATAGATAGGAAGGCAAAACTATGGGAACATAGTTCCCATATGAATGAGAACTTATCTATTCTGGAGAAAAGTTTCAGTATGTAATTTACTTTTACGGAAGCTCTTTTAATTTAAAATACACAGCAGAATGTTTAAAGAAGGCTGTAGAGACTGAGCAGGGCAATACCAGGGTAGCCTTGTTCTACTCACTTCATTTCTGGTCATCCCACTTGGACTGCTGAAAATGAACTTGGTCCTGGGAAGGGTGATGAACGTCTGTGGTTCATGTTCCTCTGGCTGAATTCTAAAATCAAATATAATTTTTCTAAATTACCCTCTTGCTTCAGTTTCATTCATACTTCTTTTCCCTTCCATTAGTCCAGAAAATCAAGTTGAGTACTGGCATGTGATTTGTACTGATTTAATTTTTGCTAAACCACACCCATCCCGTTATTTTTTCTTCATTTATTTAGTCTGTAACTCCATCTCTTTCTTGCTACTCCTGTTGCTTTCTAGGACTTTACCCACCCACCACTCTGTTACTCCAATCTGCCTAAAAAGAAAAACAAAATGGTGCAAAACAGCAACATGAAGCATGTGTTATTATTCTTTTCCTTCCCCATTCTTTGGGGAAAATATCTGTTCCTTTTCAAATAATATATATTTGAGCACTGTTAACACAGTGTTTAATGATTGTGTTATTATGAAAAGTAACTTGATCATCTCATTTAGTATCATAGATCTATAGATACATAGTTTAAATAGATACCGGGTATATTCATAGTCAGAGTATTTATATGATGTGCCAGTACTGTAGGACAGTTCCAGACACTGGGGATATAGAAGTTAACAAAAAGGATAAAATTCCTTCTCTGATGAAGCCTACAATCTGGAGGGTAAGAAACATAAATAAATGAAGGAGGACAAAGAAAGGAGGAATGGAGAGTGAGAGGGAGGGAGGGAGGAAGGAAGGAAGGGAGGGAGGGAAGGAAGGAAGAGAGGGAATTCTTCTCATACTGATAAACATTATGCAGAAATGAAAACAAGGAAATGTATAGAGTGACTAGGGGGAGGATGGGAGATAAAACATTGAGCTGTGAGGCCAGAGAACACCACTTTAAAGAGGACTTTGAACTAAGACTCGACCAGTAGAAAGAGCGAGCCATGGAGAAGAGTCTTGCGGGCAAAGGCTGGAGCAGCAAAGGCTCTGAGGCAGAAAAGAGCTGTGGCAGAGCTTGTGAGCAAGGGGGAGAGAAGTAGCGACAAAGCGGAAAAGCTGGCCAGATAAGCAGGCCAAGGTCAAGTTTAGATTTTCATATTAAGTTTTATAGGAAGCCATTGGAGTGTTTTTAAAATAGGTTTGTGACATGCTGTGACTTAGGTTTAAAAAAACACATTAGCAGCTGTGTAGAAAATTATTTAAAGGGGTCAAGAATGGTACTAGGGAGACTAGGCAAGAAATGATGGTGACTTGGGCAAGAGTAGTAGAAAGGGGATGGTGAGATGGGGTTGTAGGGAGAAGCAACAGCACTTGATAAATGTGAGAACAAGGGGAGATGGGAAGGAAAGAAATCAAGGCTGATACCCAGGTGCCTGTCTGTTATGTGTGAGTGCACCACAGTTTGTTCAATCAGTCTCCTACATTCAAACATTACATGTAATTTTCCAATATTTTGCAATTACAAACAACACTGCAATAAAATTAGGTTCATTTCTTACAGCAAACATAAGGACAACTCCAACTTCGATTTGATCAAAGATTAACTCTAAGATAAAATGAAACTATGCAGATGCAAGAAAAGATGAGAAAATTCCTCTTTAATCCGAATGTAAAGAAGGGCTTTCTTTCCTTTTTTCTAAAATTTATTTATTTTATTTATTTATTTTTGGCTGCGTTGGATCTTCGTTGCTGCACGTGGGCTTTCTCTAGTTGCAGTGAGCGGGGCTATTCTTCGTTGCGGTTCACGGGCTTCTCGTTGCAGTGGCTTCTCTTGTTGTGCAGCACGGGCTCTAGGGGCATGGGTTTCAGTAGTCATGGCACGTGGGCTTAGTAGTTGTGGCTTGCGGGCTCTAGAGTGCAGGCTGAGTAGTTGTGGTGCACAGGATTAGTTACTCGGCGGCATGTGGGATCTTCCTGGACCAGGGTTCGAACCGTATCCCCTGCATTGGCAGGCGGATTCCTAACCATTGCGCCACCAGGGAAGCCCAAGAAGGGCTTTCTAATGATGTCTTTTCTGTGCAATAACTCTGGGGACCTTTAGCCTCTGAAATGTAGCTAAAGGTATTAAACTCATCCATACCTTAGACACAGATGCCTTGACTCCTAGTTTTTTTCACTAGAGCAGCTAAGCAGATTTATTTTACCATCATGAGGAAGAGTGGGAAAAACAGATTTAGGAAGAAAGAGAATCAATAGTTCTACTGTGGGCTTCCTTGGTGGCGCAGTGGTTGAGAGTCCGCCCGCCGATGCAGGGGACATGGGTTCGTGCCCCGGTCCGGGAGTATCCCACATGCCGCGTAGCGGTTGGGCCCGTGAGCCATGGCCGCTGAGCCTGCGCGTCCGGAGTCTGTGCTCCGCAACGGGAGAGGCCACAACAGTGAGAGGCCCGCTTACCACAAAAAAAAAAAAAAAAAATATATATATATATATATATATATATATAGTTCTACTGTTGGACTTGTTATATTTCAGATGTGTCTTAGACATTTAAGTAGGAATGTCCAGTAAGCAGTTAGGTATATTACTCTGGAGACTTCAAGAGGGAAGCTGCGGAGAGGCCATCAGTGTACAAAAGGTATTTAAAGAAATAAGACTGGATGAAATCACTGAGAGAAAAAGTAGAGCAGAGAACCAAAAGAACCCAGGACAAATACCTGGGATTCAGCAGCATTTGGAAGTCGGATGGAGGTAGCCAGCATTGAAAACTGAGTAGTGCCCAGTAAGGTAGGAGGAAAACCAGAAAAATGTGGTATTCAGAAGTAACGGGGAGACAATGTTTCAACAAGTCCTAACAGCTTTAGGCATTAAAAAAAAAAAAAAAAAAGCTACAATACTATGATACTTTACAGAATCATATGCCCCCAATATAACTCAATCCCTTTATCCCAAAAAAGTTCCACTTCCTATAGTCCCAACTCTGATTAATGGCATCATCCAGTCACCAAAATTCTCTCCTTCACCCATATCAAACCTGACATTAACTCTGATAGATTCTGCCATTTTAACATATATCTTTCACTTCTTATCTATTCTTTCTTCCCTAACGCTCCCAACTAAATTCAGGTCCTCAAGTTTCAGCAGGACTATTGAAATAATCTCTTATGTATACCCCTGCCTCTTGGCTTAGTCTGGGTACAATCCATCTTCCATACTGTGGCCAGAGAAAATTTTCCAAAGTATGTATCTGATCATATTGCTTTCTCTCTCTCTCTCTCTCCTTCAAAATTCCTCAGGACCTAAAGTGATGGTTTCTAGGCTTTGGGATTTCATTAATCAGTACCTCCCCCTTTGAAAAACTGTACTGATATCTCTAATAGAACATACTTCTCATTTTGGATTGCAGCTGCTATCTTCCCACTGGCCTGGGACTTCCTTGAGAGCAGAAACTATGACTTCATTCACTTATGCACTCATTCACATACATTCAACAATATTTATTGAGGGTCTATTATGCGCCAAGAACCACACTAGGTCCTGGGATGATGTAAGTAAAAACAAACACAGTTCCTGTCCTCAATTGTGTCTATAATCTAGTTAGGGAGACATGTATCAAATAAGCAACAAATTAATATAAAACTTCTACCATCACCAGAGCTATGAAGGAGAAGCACACAGTGTATAGAGAGCTTAAAATAAGGGATTTGAGCCAATCAGAGTTGGGGAGACAATTTTCAGAAGTGTTGCTTGAGCTGGGATCTGAAGAGCAGACAAGAGCTAAAAGGTAGAGAGGCAAAGATGAGAGTGAAAAATATCTGAGGCAGAGGAATAAGAAATAAGACCACAGTAAGAAATAAGACCACTGGGGCTGGAGGTGAGAAAGCAAGACATTCTTGGTACAAAGTGACAAGATCACGTAGGGCCATACATCGGTTAAGGAATTTTATCTGTCAAAAAGCAATGAGGTTTTCAGGCTTCTCTGGCGGCGCAGTGTTTAAGAATCTGCCTGCCAATGCAGGGGACACAGGTTCGAGCCCTGGTCTGGGAGGATCCCACATGCCGTGGAGCAACTAAGCCCATGTGCCACAACTACTGAGCCTGCACTCTAGAGCCCGCAAGCCACAACTACTGAAGCCCCTGCGCCTAGAGCCCGGACTCCGCAACAAGAGAAGCCATCGCAATGAGAAGCCCGTGCACTGCAACAAGAGTAGCCCCCTGTCACCGCAACTAAAGCAAAGCCCGTGCGCAGCAATGAGGACCCAATGCAGCCAAAATTAAAATAAATAAATAAATAAATTTAAATTTAAAAAATAAAGTTAAAAAAAAAAAAGCAATGAGGTTTTCAATTAGGAGATGACATAACTAGAGCTGAATTTTGAAAAGACTCTTCTGGCCCTAAAACAATACTGCTCACACCCAGAATCTCAAAAATCCCTCAGGAAAATCACTTTTTCAGGTTTTTCTTGCCCATGTTTTCTACTACAAGTACTTCTCCAAAACATACTCCAGGGGGGAAAAAAAAATCCCACCACCATCAGATTCCAAAGGACAACTATGCATAGTTATCCAAGTACTTCTCTTCATTGTATTCTACCATTCCCCATATTTCCGATCTCCCCTAAAAAGGAAGTCAGCTCTACTTCAATTTATATTACCCAACCAGAAAACTTAAACTTATATTGATGTAAAAAAAAATGATACAAATGAATTAGTTACAAAACAGAAAGAAACTCACAGACACAAAAAACAAAATTATAGTTACCAAAAGGGAAAGGGGGGTAGGGGGAGGGATAAATTAGGAGCTTGTTATTAACATATACACACTACTATGTAGAAAACAGATAACCAACAAGAACCTACTGTATAACACAGGGAGCTAAACTCAATATTTTGTAATAACCTATAACGAAAAAGAATCTGAAAAGGAATATATGTGTGTGTGTGTGTGCATGTGTGTGTGTGTGACTGTACCACTGTGCTGTACACCTGAAAATAACCAACTAACAAACTAATCAACTATACTTCAATTAATAAAAAGTATATTCGAGATTGGTTCAAGATGGCGAAGTAGAAGGACGAGCTCCCACTCCCTCTTGCGAGAACACCAGAATCACAACTAACTGCTGAACAATCATCGACAGGAAGAC